AGAGAGTCCCAAACAAGATGAAACCAAACAGGCCCACACCAAGACATACTATAATTGGAATGGCAAATGTTAAAGACAAAGAGACAATCCTAAAAGTAGCAAGAGAAAGGCAGCTAGTAACTTATGAGGGAGCTCCCATAAGATTGTCAGCTGATTTCTCAACAGAAATTTTGCAGTCCAGAAGGGATTGGCACAAATTATACAATGTGATGAAAAGCAAAGACATACAACCAAGATTAGTTTACCCAGCAAAGCTATCATTTAGAATCGAAGGACAGATAAAGAGCTTCCCAGAGAAAAAAAAATTAAAGGAGTTCATCACCACCAAACCAGTATTGCAAAGGATGTTAGAGGGACTTCTTTAAGATAGAAAAAAAACATAAAGGGATTAAAATTATGAATAGTAAATATGGCAATAGCTACATGTTTACCAACAATTACTTTCAATATAAATGGATAAATTCTCCATTCAAAAGACATAGAAGGGCTAAATGGATAAGAAAACAAGACCCTTATATATGCTGCTTACAGGAGAATCATTTCAGATTGAAAGACACACAGAGATGGAAAGTAAAGGGATGGAAAAAGATGTTTCATAAAAATGGAAACAAACAAACAAACAAAAGCTGGAGTAGCAATACTTATACCAGACAAAATAAACTTTAAAACAAAGGCTATAACAAGAATCAAAGAAGGTGCTAGTAATCCCATTTCAGGGTATTTACCTGAAGAAACCCAAAATGCTACTTTGAGGGGATGTGTGCATCCATAAGTTCGTTGCAGCGTTGTTTACAATGGCCCAGATGTGGAGGCAGCCTAGGTGTTTATTGATGGATGAATGGATAAAAAGTATGTGGCACATATATACAGTGGAATATTGCTCAGCCATGGAAGGGAATGGGTTCTTGCCATCTGTGGAGGCATGGATGGACCTGGGGGGTATTGTGCTGAATGGAGTACATCAGGCACAGAAAGACAGATGCAATGTAATTTCATTTATATGTGGAATCTAAAAAACAAAATAAACAAACAAAACAGAAACAAACTCATAGATACAGAGAACATATTGATGGCTGCCACATGGGAGGGGGCTTAAAGTAAGTGAAAAAGGGGAAGGGATTAAGAAGTACAAATTGGTTGTTGCAAAGTAGTTATGGGGATGTAGGGTATAGCATAAAGAATATAGTTAATAATATTGTAATAACTATGTATGGTATCAAATGGGTACTAGATTTGTTGGAGTGATAGATAGGAGGGTGTTGGGGGCCAGGATGAAAAGGTGAAGAGATTAAGAAGTACAAATTGGTAGTTACAAAATAGTTATGGAGATGTAAAGTAAAGCATAGAGAATAATAGTAAGATGGTAATCACTGTGTATAGTGCCAGGTGGGTACTAGATGAGTCTGGGGGATCATTTCTTAAATTATATAAATATCTAATCACTATGCTGTACACCTGAAATTCATATATAATAATATTGACTGTCCAGGTATAAAAAAAATAAGTCATGGGAATGTAACATACAGCATAGGAAATATAGTCAATAATATTGTGATAGTGTGGTTCAGTGTCAGATGGTTGCTGGACCTATGGTGATCATTTCTTAAGGTATATAAATGTTGAATAACTATTGTGTACACCTGAAATTAACATAATATTGTATGTTAGCTATATTTTAATAAAAATCTTTAAAAAAATCTTTATTAATGGAGACATGTATCCTCACATATGAAGATACAAGGGTGGTTAATTCAGACCTCAATGTCTTTCCTCACACTGATTCCTTGCCTAGACAAGATCATTCCACTCTTTCATTCTATTTGAAAGTTACTGAGTGCTCACTATGTTCTGGGCATGATTCTAAGTGCAGAGATGGAACAGTTAACAAGGCAGATAGGGTCTCTTTCATGGAGTTGGGGGATGGGAGATGGGAGAGGCACTGAGAGTCAGTAATAGACAATAAGTGAGAAAACAAACAACATAATTTCAGACAAAGGTACAACAAAGAGGTTAAAACACCCTTTTCTCTCCATTCTGCACCTTCTTCGTCATCCCCACCTCATCCTCTCTTAATGTTTTCTAACAATCTCCTCCACCCAGTTCTGAATAGGCCATTTCCTCCTTTTGTGGATGCATTAATCCCACCTCCACTTCTATCCTGTCACTTTATTGCACTTGTTTACCTGTTTTACCTTTCCCAAAGAGCCTTTAATCCCCTGTAGAGTAAAGGTCAGACTTTGTTTTTTCATTATGGTTTTGTAGATGTAAGTCTTGGCACATATTCTAGTGTTGCTCACCATATAACATTTTCAATAAATTAACTGAACAAATCCGTTGAAGAAATAAAGAAGTCACTAACAGTAGGCTAGTGTGGAACTATTATTTACAACTTGAGGCTTAGTAGGAATGACTATGTTGATGTGATCACAATCTTCTATAAAGATTTTATGTTGTCATTAAAATAATGTTCTATTGTTTAGTCTAATAGTTTTCACCCAGTGTACAATTTTTTTTTTGTTACAATTTAGGATTCACATTACTAAAGTGATGTCTGTCAGAAATTGAATTGAACAGGTATATAGTAAGAGGCACCAGAGAAAGATCTCTGATTCCCCAGAGCCCAGAGAACTTGCTTTCAGAGAGAGGGCAGAGAATTGTAATACCTAGAGCAACGTGGCACTGACAACCGACTAAATAATTTGAGGCTTCCTTCCAGTATTGGAAAGCACCCTGTGACCTCACAATGGCTTCGGGCCATCTAATCCAAGGGCGATAACCAGTTTGGGTCTTTATTTAGTGCCTCCCAGGTAACTACCAGTTGTAAGGTAGGCAGGGGAAAAACTCTTGACAGTGCAATAATAAAGAGCTTCTTAAGGCAATTAGGACTCATTTGCATGATATTGGATATAGTAGGGCCACAGTGCAAACCCACAGAACTAATTGCTTTGAATGTTAATGAGAAAATGCCTTCTGTTGTTGCCAAATCAGTTACATTGGGTATCAGACTTGGATTTTATTAAGAGTCACATATAAAAAATGTTACTTATCAGGAGGCAAGCCAATCTCTACAGCTCTGACATGCTCTTCCTCTATTTCCCTGATGATTTTTCTCCAGCTCAGCAAGTATGAGGAATATGGCTTAACTCCTGAGTCTTCCCTTCTACCTTCAGAGACAGCATCCCACAGAGCACGGGAAAATGACAAATCCAATGGAGGGTACAAGAAGCCTGAGGTCTTCTGCAAAGTAACCGACAAACATCGGCTGTATTTTGCAGCCACAGACTTATTTTTTCAGTTAAGTTTAGGAAGGGAATAGTAACAAGTATTTTTCATTTTTGTTTTGCTAATGGAAAATCTGAACCCAAAAGATGCTGAATTAGTGAATCCCAGGCAGAAGAAACATGTTATTAAGAATGAAGCAATGGACCGTTCCTGAATGGCTATATATGGTCTCTTCATCAAAGGACAGAGTCTAGTTGAAATAGATTAGTAGACTACGAAAATTTGGATTAATAAAGAGCAAGTCCCATTCTATCATTATGATACCCATTAGTCCTAGAATTAAAAATAACTACTTTTTATTGAGCCCACACCATGTGTCAGCTAATATGCTGGGTGTTTCTTGTAATTATCTAACTTCATTCTCCCCAAAATACTACGTGGTAAGTATCATTATCCCACTTTCACAGGTAGGGAAACTAAGGCTCAGAAATTTTAAGTAATTTGCTCAAAGTCTTACAGGTGGTAAATTGAAGAGACAAGATTGGAAACCAAATGTGTATGATTTCAAAATTTACATTCTTCCCAATGTATCCTATTCCTTGGGAATAATTAATTTCACAGATCAAATGATACTCCTTCCCCATTTTTACAAATGTTCTTTAAAGATAAAACTTGACTCTGCATTTTAGTTCTGAGCTATCAGGATTTTTTTTTAAAAAGTATTAACTCAGAGTAGGAATATTTAAAGATTTAATTTAAATGCATTTAATTTATTTAATTTAATTAATTTGCATAACTAAGTGCAAGCACATTTCTGAGGGAAGAGACTTGCTAAGTATAAGCTTGTCCCATTGATGATGCTAGCCTTATAGTTTTTCAGTCCAGAATGAAGCTGGTGGTGGGATTAGGAGAGCCTCAAACACACAATGCGCTCAAAGGAGAGGCAGTTTCTGGGGGATCACATAACAGGGACGGCAGTAGATACTTAAAACATTGCACAATATCAACATGAAAATAAAGTTTTCTAGAACAAGTGACCTTCAAGAGAAAGGGAGGAAAAAACACAAGAGGGTAGGTGAGAAGCAATAGAAATTCAAGGCCTGAAACAGAGGACGTGTTATAATAACTGCCAAATTATCACACAAAATAAACCTGAACTGATTTCCTCAAAAGTCATTCAATCTAAGCATGCTAAACATCTCTTACCATATTTAGATGTTATTCGGTTCACTAAAGGAATGAACACCTAAGTGATTTTCAACAAATCCTATTATACCATCCTGCTGACTGTAACACTCCTTATTTTTCACAGACACGTTTGTAGTTTCATGCTCCTATTTTAAGATAACCACAATCACAGTTCAGTGCAATTACCTGGATAGATCTCACAGTGGGACACCTCACACCTCTCTATTGAGATTAAACTCTCTTTTGTAGGTTTCTAAATTATGTGCTTTCTAGTGCTTCCCATTTAAGTTGGGTGGAGGAGAAGGAAAGGGGAAGGCAGCAGAACAAATATTATTATCATCGGGGGAAAAAAAACAATATTAAGAATAATTCAGAATTGGCTTTAACTATTGAAGCACATAATAGTTTTTTCCTATAGTTTATGAATTACATTTCCTTTCATTTTATTATTTTTTTCTTATTTTCCTCTTATAGAGGAGGTAATATTCAATTTTCTCCTTTGCCTTAAGAGTTTTCTTTCCAAGTAGAAGAGTAGGAGAAAGAAAGCTAGGAGGGCAGTACCCTGGAATAATTGATTTCTCTTGGGTTACCTTGTAGTTTCTGATTGTATTCGGTCCTGTCAGACTGGCTCCTCCTCAAGGTACCCGAGTGGTCCCCAGAAACACTGCTGTCAACTACAGTGTCAGTCTTCCTTCTCTCCAGCATATAGAGCCTGGGCCGCAAGAAAGTCAGGTTCTTTTTCTTGGTGCCCATGTTTTCTTTCCCAGTGGCTTCTTTGGGCTCCATCTGAAGCAAAGACAAGCTTTAGAGGTTTGCAAAAAATGGCCGGTTGCTAAAGTGCCTCGGGGTGAGGATTAAAGCCACTAGAGTGACAAGTTGAACTGCCCCCCTTCTAACTAAACAGCTTTGCTCCAGGGTTACCTGGCTGTGACTGCCACCTCTACGGAGTCCCAGAGCCCCACCCCTATGAGGTCATTCTTTTTTATACCTAGAATCCAACAAGGGAAGTCGCCACCTGTTACCTGAGAGACCTGCAGCACAGAGCTAGGCAAAGCAGGGATCGCACTGTCACATGCTACTGAAGCAAACAAAAATCCCATTGTGTGGGGCAAGGGCTGGGGGTTGGGAGGAAAGGCAAGAGAACTAGGTGAGGCAGGGAGGAAGGGAAGTACCTGCGACTGAACCTGTGGCTTATGGCTTTCAAGTGTGCCGATGGGTGTGTACAGGTGTGCCCGAGGCACTGCCTTGTGCTCTGCTGCCTGGAGGCAGATGTGGGCTTGTGTGTGACCTTTAGCTAGAGTCACTCACCAGAGACCCACGGAGTCCGTGTGAGGCTCAGTGAATTTGCATTTGCATCACAACAGTGGACACAGAATCATGTTTAAGGATTACTGTCGGCACTCATTCATGCTTCTTCCTTGGGACCCTGAATGTTCTATTATTTGCTAAAAGAAAACGTGCTTGCCAAACCCTGATCCGCATTCCTGAGGAAACAAGGATTCGCCGGTGCGAGAGGTCTGGCGGGAGGCACAGGAAGGGGAGGTCCGAAGAGGCCTTCAGAAGCCTTCTCCTTTCTCCTCTTCTCCCCCGCCCTTGCCTGAAATTAGTGCTTCTTGTAGTCCCAGCCCTGTCCTTCTGAGCCTGGTCCTCAGGAAAATAAGCATCGTGTCAGGGTGTGAGTTCTGTATGACCTTTCCCATGCCTTTTGCAGATGGAGTGACAACACAGGCAGCTCACCTTGGGACAATAAGAGGAAAAATGTTTGGAAGCTAGAAGAGGCAGGTAGAAAGGATGGTGGTGGGGGAGCAAGGACTGGGAAAGGGAAAGGCAAACAGTGGTGGGCCTTTCATTAATTTTTTTGAAGTTGTTTTTCCTTGTACTCCCTGAGATTTCTCAAGAGGGAAGTTCTCAGAAGCTCTGGGGATACAGTGAATGGTTTGTATGCCCTTGTTAGAGAAAAGCGGGACCCTCAGGAGGAAAATAGATTCTTTTTTCTTGTAAAGGGAGCGCCAAAATTCAGCTTTATGCAGCCCGTTCTGAATCGTGGTTAACCCTTGTTAGACAAGGTTTATAAATGAGGAAAAAGAGATAAAAGCCAGTTTTTCCAACTCAGGATGTGTGGGCTGGATACAATTTGCATAATTATCTTTAAAAGATAAATGACAAATCTTCACCCACTATAGAGACATATATAGTTGGCGTATTGAATCTTTTATTTAGTATAATTGATAGTCTTTTTAAAACAAGCCCTCCCAAGTACTTTTAATAAATGCTTTTAAAGGCACATTCACCACTAAGATACAAAATGAGCTTTTTAAATTCATGTTTAAAATGCCTCAATTGTATTCTAATATTATATATGCATATACATATATGATATGTTTTGCAGATTCACTTGGTTACTGACAGACATGTACTATTACACATAGTATTACTGCAGAATTGTACAATTAAAACTATAGGATTTACAGTAAATATGGGATTAGGGACACAGCACTCAAAAACTTTGTCAGTGACCCATAAAAAACAGATAGAAAATGAAAGAAAAAGGGTAGCACAGTTTAACATGTAATAGATAGTTAAGAAATACCAGGGGTGCCAAAACATGTATACACATTTTAAGAGATGTTATCTATGCTCAAGCAGTAGTTTGCTGTAATCAGAAGTGTCTGGACGCTCATGGTAATCGCTTTGAGCACCTCTTGTAATTGCAAAAGTCAAACGTGATTTGTATTCATCTTTTGTTATGGGTATATATTGAGTATTACAATTTTAATACAGTTTTTGTTTCTTAAGATGTGTATACATTTTTTGTCACCCTCTGTATATAAATACTACAATAAATATGAAACTTTATCTTGAAAAAAAGGTGAAGTTTCCTTGTAGAAGTGGGCTTTACAGAATCATAGCTTATGAGTCACAGCAAAGTGATGGAAGAAGGGATATTTGAAATCAGATTGAAATGTATACTGCTCGATGTGGTTGGTGTTGCTAAGGCCACAGGCAGTGCATTGAAGTCTCTGGTCTCCTGGGGGTGGGGGGTGTCATGTGTGTGTTTTGTGTACTCCTTTGTGGCTCAGAGCATCTGGATACAGTTTTGTGCATTCGCTTCGTGTTCCAACTAGATAAAATCACACATAAGCAAATGTGAAATTGTGTTATGCTTAAACAGTTCCTCTTCGTCACAACAAACGTGTTTTCAAAATAAATATTATAGCAGAACTGATTGTAGTAGCTTCATTATATTTTTAAATTTCACTACTTAAGAAGATACATAGCATAGCTACTATGAATTCAGTAGTAAATCTATATTTTTTTCACATTAGTTTCTATATCAACTTTAAAAATGATAGATACATTCTTTTAAAACTATCTTTTAATCAGTCAATGAATAGGGCGGTCACTGTTAGTTGTTCTCTCAATATTCACTCTTAATACCTTCCACCCCCATGCCATTCTTTGCCAACAGAATCCTTATTTTGTTCATGGCAGCATTTGCGTTGGCCATTCATAATGATAACTTGATTTTTAATTTTTCCTGTCTCTCTTATCACTAGGCTGTCCATGTATTCTCAGTCCTGGCAAAGGAGGCCTCAGTGGTAGTCTCTTATAATGGGGGGTGGGGTATTGATTCTGGGAAAGCTTTTGCTTCTCTAATAAAAGGTGTAGTAACAGCTGCCTTCGACCTTCCCACTTCAACCAGCTTTGATCACGGGTGTAATGCATGGAGCGGTTATAGCCACCCTGTGTCCTTAAGAAAAGACCAAGAGAACCATGGGCTCTGATACCATTGAGCCACTGAACCAATACCAGCAGCTACCCACCTTTAGACTTCTTGGTATGAGGGTGAAATAAACCTCTCTCCCAAAGTCGTTTTTAGAAGGAGTTCTTGTGGTCAATACATTCCTAAGGGATTCAACAGACAGTGCCGTGTGTATGCATTTCCTTTGCTTATCTTTTTGACACTTTTTAAACCAATGTGTTTAGAATCACCAGCATAAAATAAGAACAGATAGGTTAGGAAGATTTTGAGTGTTTTTTCACCAGGGTATCTTGCTAGAACATGAGTGAAACTGGAGGAACAAGGCCTCTAATTTGTCTGTGTTCTATATTTTATGGCAAAGTTACACAGTCTTTCAATACAAGGATTTTATAGTGCTTAGATAAATAAAATGTTGATATGAAGACATTTAAATTGATTTTATTGTGTGTAGAGTACAAATAGTTCCTGGTTCATTATTTTCAAAAGCACTGGACAATGACTCCAAGATCCAATTTTAGTTTTGGCTGTGACATACATTGGCTTCGTAACATTACAAGGGACATAATCTCTAGGTCCCAACTTCTTCATCCACAAAATGTAAGGATGAGTTAGTCCTTTGTACTAGTCACTGAATATTTTCAGCTTCCCATTTAGGTACGAAGCAATATTGCACTACCCTGCACCCTTCCATTTTAGGCGTGATCACATAACTTGCTTTGGCCAATGAAATTGATTAAACATGATATATGTCACTTTTGGGAAAGTGATAAGAACCAGTGTGTGATTTGCGATAGCTTTCTTTCCCTCATCTGTGGTGACTAAGATTCTAGGCAGAGGCTCTTCTATCAGGACGAGTCCTAGAATGTGGATGCCTCAGATTAGATCCCCCAGCCACCCAGTAATGGTGGCAGAATTCTTTGCTGCTTTAAGCCACTGGGCGTTGGGGCTTTCCTTTTATTACTTCAGCATAAGTTAGACTCGCCTTATTAATGGAGGCTATAAATTAAATGATACAGAAATCTTTTTTCAGCTCTAGCATTATATGATTTCCAGATTCCTAGACCCCGGGTGCTATTAGGTTGTAAAACTCCTAATTCCAAAAAAGAAATTCTTAAATAATGCCATGAATAAACCAGATTGGAGGAAAGAAAAGAACTCATTATTAAGTCAGGAACTCATAGGAATCCAGACAATAAAAATGCTTAGACTAGGGTAATGGTGGTTGGGATGGAGAAAAGCAGATGAATCCAAAGAATTTTGAAAGCTGAACTGACTGAACTTGTATATGATTTAATGGAGTGAATGAATAAGAAGAATAAAGGATAAATTCCTGGCTATGAGATTGAATAACTGGGAGGATACTGGTCCTGAATGCTAATAGAGGAAGAAAGAACAGAGGAAGAGTAAGTTTGGTGGGGTTGTTAAGAACTCTATTTAGGTTCCATTAAGGTTAAGAGGCCTGTAAGATATTCAAAGGAAATATCAGGTAGCCTTTGGATTGGAGTAAACTATTTAGATTTTAGTTAAAACATTGGGAGTCATCAGACTATACCTAATATTTAAAGCCATGGATTGATGAAACCACTTAAGAAGATAATATATCCAGAAGAGAAGGATCAACATCAAATCCTTCAGAACTCTAAATTTAGAGGTGGGGTTGGAGGAAAACCCAGCAAAGAAGGCAGAAGAGAGCAACCGTTGATGTGGGAAAGGAGGAGCGCGTGGCGTCTCAGAAGTGGGGAAGCAAGTGTTTCCAAAATGAAGGCATAGTCAGTCGGCTGAGAGGCCAAACAAAATGGAAATAGAAAATAATGTTTTTAATTTGGCACAAAGTTGGTCATTTATAAACTTTTCAAGGGGCATTTTGGTAAACATCAGAATGGAAGGGATTTCTTTAAAGGAGGAGAGAAAGGTGAAACAGGTTGGAATAATACTTCTGAGAGTGTAAGGGTATGTGAGGATCATATCCAGGGAGAATTATACCCATGTTTTACAGATTTGGAGACAGGTTCAGAGAAGTTGAGTGATTTTACCAATATCACACAACTGGGAAATGATGAAGTCAGGATTCAAGATTAGGCCCCTCTTGCAGCAAAGCTTGTGTTTTATTACACATTTGACATCTACTGGATGTTAAGTGCCTAGCAAACTGCCTGACATACAGCAAGGGCACCACAAATGTACT